AGAGAGAATCCCAATCAGGCTCTGCACTGTCAGCACAGAGCCCCATGCAGGGCTCGAACCCATGAACTGTGAGGTCACGACCTGAGCTGAAATCAAAAGTCGGACGCTCAACTGATTGAGCCACCTGGATGCCCCATAAAATATTTTTTTTTAAATAGGAAAAAGATAAATCCTGGAGCTCTTTCTTCTTGCTCCACAATGACCTGGCTGCTGTCTCAGCTGCCACACACCTGTCACCTCAGGACACCTGTCTCCCATCAGCAGTACCCCAGGAAGCCCTGGACCCAGACCCAGCCCCACCCCATGCTGGGTCTTCTACTGCTGCCAGATCCCATTTCTCTCTCTCTTTCTCTCTCTCTTTTAATGTTTGTTTAATTTTGAGAGATAGAGACAGAGCACAAGCAGGGGAGGAGCAGAGAGAGGGGGAGACACAAAATCCGAGGCAGGCTCCAGGTTCTGAGCTGTCAGCACAGAGCCCGATGTGGGGCTCGAACTCTGGACCAGCAAGATCATGGCTCAAGCCAAAGTCAGACATTTAACTGACTGAGACACCCAGGCGCCCCCCTCCCCCACCCCGGCAATTTCTCTCTTGAGTACACCTTCTTTGGCTGACACACATCCTTCCATAAACTTCCTGAGACAGTGTGCCCATAGAGTAAATATTTTGAGACTTTGCATAACTGAAACTTCCCGTTTGCTGTCCTTGTTACTCTTTCTTTAGTTTGGGTATAAAATTCTAGTTTTGATATTATTCTTCCTTGGAATTTTTGTCTTCTAATTTTCAGTGTTGCCGTTAAGAAATCAGGAGCAGGGGCACCTGGGTGGCTCACTCGGTTAATCAGACTCTTGATTTTGGCTCAGGTCGTAAGATCAAACTCTGCATGTGGCTCTGTGCTGGGTGCCTACTTGGGATTCTGAGGCTTAGTCCTTTAGATGAGACCTCTTTTGTTTGTTTCTGGATACTTTGGGGTAGTAAATTTCACATCGATGAGGTTTTGTTTCTTTCTTTCCCAAATTCCTTCTTGCTAAGCATTCAGCAGGCTGTACGTGTTCTGTATTTCTGTGACATTTCCCTACACTCTTTTGTTGATGATTTCCCCCCACTTCACCTTATTCTCTCTCCAAAATTCCTGAAATTCAGCTGTGGAACCTCCTGGGTTGACTTTCTAATTTCCACATGTTTTTCACTCACATTCTCAGTATATGTGCTGAAGAGAGCGCTCACTCATGTTTTCAATCTTTGTCTTTTTGTTCTATTTGCTGGCATATTTCCTTAACCTTCTTCCTCTCTCTTTTTTTAAGATTTTATTTTTCTTTTTTTTTTAAATTTTTTTAAGTGTTTATTTATTAAACACTTAAACATTAAACATTTATTAAACATTAAAAAAATTATTTTTTTAATGTTTATTTATTTTTGAGACAGAGAGAGACAGAGCATGAACAGGGGAGGGTCAGAGAGAGAGAAATACAGAATCCGAAGCAGGCTCCAGGCTCAGAGCCGTCAGCACAGAGCCTGACACGGGGCTCGAACTCACGGACCGTGAGGTCGTGACCTGAGCCGAAGTCAGACGCTTAACCGACTGAGCCACCCAGGCGCCCCAAGATTTTATTTTTTT